CAGAATCGTTGAATTATTTCCGTATTCAGGATGCATTAACGTTGCATCAACATGAAACATGGAACTGTACATAATAAAATAGCATTTATTTCTAGCGAGGACGTCGCTTCTGATAAATATCGTGGCGACCATCGGAAATGCTTCTGGCCAATGATTGATGGGATTACTTGCCCTTTTCTGTTAACGCACAGAACGGAGGGTCTACTCAGGTCTATGAAAGAACAGACGGAATACAATAAACACGACAGAATGAAAATGATTCATAGCTAGTTTTATACGGAATTTATTTATTATTTATTATTCATTTATGATTTCATCCATTAAAAAAACGCAATTCAATATCCAGTTGACTTTTTATATTTTAATCATTACACGTGAGGTTCACGTTCAAGTTTAGTAACAATGAAACAGCAAGATATTTCATTCGTAATAAAAATTTCTGGCCGCTTGGTATTACAAGAGGAAACATCGTTACATATCTATCCTCGCTGGGAGCATTTGGAAAAGTGCTGTTTAACAAGCGGTCCCATTCGGTTTAGCCACGAACAATGATCGCGTCGAGAGTAAAACGATCCCCAGTAATGATGGTATCGATTCGAGCACTACATGCTCGCGACAGAAGTGTACATTATTTGATCTGGAAAGTCGCGTTCGTTCATCCATACATTCCTGGTCTCTTGTCGCCGAGTAAATGACGCCGGATGTCTATGTTTTAAGCTCGTGGCTACCGACGAACAAATTTCAGGTAGCATTAATTTATTAATCATTCGTATGGAATTTATGGACATCGTTATCGATCGTTATCTTAAAATAGAATGNTCCAGTTGACTTTTTATATTTCAATCATTACACGTGAGGTTCACGTTCAAGTTTAGTAACAATGAAACAGCAAGATATTTCATTCGTAATAAAAATTTCTGGCCGCTTGGTATTACAAGAGGAAACATCGTTACATATCTATCCTCGCTGGGAGCATTTGGAAAAGTGCTGTTTAACAAGCGGTCCCATTCGGTTTAGCCACGAACAATGATCGCGTCGAGAGTAAAACGATCCCCAGTAATGATGGTATCGATTCGAGCACTACATGCTCGCGACAGAAGTGTACATTATTTGATCTGGAAAGTCGCGTTCGTTCATCCATACATTCCTGGTCTCTTGTCGCCGAGTAAATGACGCCGGATGTCTATGTTTTAAGCTCGTGGCTACCGACGAACAAATTTCAGGTAGCATTAATTTATTAATCATTCGTATGGAATTTATGGACATCGTTATCGATCGTTATCTTAAAATAGAATGAAATAAGTAATTAATTAGATAGAGATTAAGTTACAAAATTAAAATGCAGATTTAAACCTTATATAACCATTCGTCCAGCGTCCTTTTATTTTACGCGGCACTTTGTCCGCGTTTAATGGTATCAAATACTGAAATATAGCTGTTTCAGAATCATTACTTCTGGTCATTCGGTTGGCTTTTAAAACTCGAGGCACGCATGTATTTCACAAACACGTCTACGAGTTCTACGCCGTTTACGAGTTTTTTGTGACCGAATCAACTCGAGCTTGGTTACAAAATTCCGGTAACCGTGGCGTAACTAAAAGTGATTATCCATTCGCTTCGCGTAATGGGTTGGCTATTCTTGACGATTCCCCGGAAACGGGAAAAAACATCGTAAAATTTTCGTTTTAACAGTTCAACGCGCTAACACAGTTTCACGGGAAAGTGGTTACAGCGTACGCGATCGCAGAACGTATTTTAAAAAGGTGAGAAATAAAAATTAACGTGCATGTAGTTAGAATCGATTTCGCCCACGAACGCCGGTGCAGCGGATTTAAAAAATTTTAGAATCCGGTAACGTTGATTAATTTAGTCTGGGTATATTAAATTTTCATCGTTCAATCCCCAGCGAAGTAAAAAATATTTAAAATCTTGTACGCTTTACTTACTATACTCTGTTGTTCATTTATACGCGACGCAGATAGATATTAATTAGCATAGTTAAGAATGATTACGTGCAGCGATGTATAAATACTTTTAGCGAGTATGGCATGTAGGTCGGGAAGTAGTTAAAGAAGGGAAATATACCTAAATGTCGTTAATCGAATTCGCAGCAAAAGGTCGCGCCCAGATCGACCCTATCGTCCAGCTGGTAACCCAATTATTTTTCCGGTGATGACTCTTCGCGCCTTTCGGCCGGTTTACGCGGATCGGGTACGATTCCAGGCGTGTCGTTAGTCAACGATTAGTTCCGGAAAGCGAACCGGTCGTCGAAAGAGGCGAATTCGTCTATCACCCGGCACAGGAAGCGTAATTAATTCTGATCGATTGCGTTCTGACGTTCATCGAGGCTTCCCCGATCGAATTAATACTCGCTAATTAACACAAAGCTACTTTGCCCGATCACTAGGCGGAGTGAATCAGCTCGTAGACGTACGCGCATCTTTAAATAAATTGATAACGTACCGACGTTTCAATCCGTCAGCTTCAGCGCTCAGAGTAGCAATAATTTTTTTTGTTGGCCGACTTTTTTTCAGGCCGTCGGATTTTCTCGTGCCGAGATCTTCGCATGCATACAGAGCTTTTTTTTTTACGTAACGTAAAAGTGTACCAAGTGAAATTGTACGCTCGTGCAGTTTGTGTCGCGCATACATACACGTCTCTCAGAGAAATAATTGTACTGGTATATAGGACAGAGCCCATGCGACACGAATTACTCTTTGTCGAAAGAAACATACAAAATCGCGAGTCGCATTCGGGCCTGAAATTGAACGCGCATAGTTCCCGGTCGACGTTCCATAGACACAGAAACGTGGATAGAAGTATCATTATATCTTTCTTGTTTCGTTCATTTTCAACGTACAAAAGTAATAGTTCTAAAGGCAAATCATAATCGCGGTTCTCTCGCACAAAGGCAACAAGTGCGTGAGAATCAATAGCCAACGCATTCCCTCTTGAAGCTGCGTAATCTTTTCTCATTGTTCCACGAGGATTAAACGCGTTTCGCTCCTGTTTTGTACGGCATCGTACGTATGCATCGCGAGGAAGGAAAAAGCGGCCGGACACTGGGGAAGATCCACTCGAGACACAGAGCACGAACTTCATCTTCACGGAGACGAGTCGACTGCTACGTGGTGCACGTACACGTCGCCGTCGCCCCACCGAATTTCTCTCGCCCTCGACTGGATTTAAGTCCGCTTCCTCGCGGCGCATCCGCTTCCACCCCGGCGGATTCCAATCTCTCTCCACCCTGCTGCCGCTTTGATGCGGTGGTAGCCCGAAATTCTCCCCGGCATTATTAAGCGGGATCACGAGGCGACGAAGTCCCGGCGGAGTCGCGCGAACGCCACTTTCACGCTCGTAAAATCAAGAGAAAATCACCTCCTCCGAGTTCGGTCGACGAACCGGCACCCCGTCTGCTCCAATACGTCCGACTCGTCGTTTTCTTTCATTTTCAAACACAGTTGTCACCGCTCGTTGTCCGCGTTTCTCTCTTTATCAATTACATTCCTCCAACCCAATATCGTTCCGCGCTAGTTTTTATCTTTCAACGTTGTTCTATTCAGGACGTTTCAGTCTTGGGAACAATATGCGAACGCCGGTATATTTTATACAACGACGGAGACTGCGTATTGACAACCGAGCCTCCCGCCGTGGGACACACGCAACGAGCTAACGAAGCAGCGTTAATAATTAGTTCCCGGCCGTCCCTGCGCTCGTCTCTTTTTTATCGTTAACATTCCTTTTTGCAACGCTTTGCAGAGGCAAATGCGTTACACGTTAAATTCCCCGCACTAATATCGTAAACAGTAAACGGAGTCTGATTGAATCTCTACAATGAAGTTCTGTAAAAACGATGCACCGCGAAGATTTAATAATTTCTTTTGCAATTTGAAAAGAACCCTCGTTACGTTTTTTTATTCATATACTTGTTACTTTGTTCTCCTACTTAATTCAGCTAACGATCAATTATCTCCGGTAGCAAACATCTTATCCTTTTACTTCGATTACGAATCGAATTTCTTAGACAGCTACGATAGACCGGGGAGAGCTTACGCTTTTCTCAAGACTCCACTATATAGCATTCCTCTCCTTTCGAGAGAAGAACAACCACTGAACCAGAAGAAACGCGCCTTTCTTCGAGACCGATGCAGAGAGCCGAGGTGAATCGAATTTAATCTCCATGCTTCTGTCAAGGAGAGTTTCAGCGAACTGATACGTGACAATTTTCGAGTCTAATAGCAGATAGACGCATTCGGCTGTTAATTTCAACTCGCTATCAGTCTCAGGAACTGAAAATGACAGTTCAGCCAGTTTAGGAACACGACCAATTAATTCCAGGCTTTCGAGCGATTAATAACGAAATTATTCAAGGTCAATATAACGTTTTCTCATCGGATTCTAAATATCTATTTTTATGTAATATGAAAATTGTGACGAAATTTATATTGACTGCAACACGACCGAACTTGAAATTCCGTATGCAGAACGTCACGAAAATTGATAATATTTTCAGTGTCTTTGACGTCTCACGTATGCTGCTACTAGAATAACCAATGCAGTAGCAAACGCGACGGTCTAAATATTCCGGATATAAAGAAGAAAAAAAAAAACATGTAAAAGAACCGAATTGCATTGGGTTTTATGGTATTTACTGGTTCTGATTTCCCGCTGGCGCAACCTTATCGCATTGTACCAGGATTATTGGCTTGATAAGCGTCTATACATATGTCCGACAAGTTCTCCTACGCTCGGGTTTTCATACAGTGAACGATGCAGACTTTTGCGATACGTGGCCAATTAACGAGAAGTTTACACGAAACATTTAATGTAGTATTTGTTCGTTCGCCGCTAAAGTATAGTTTTCAAAGGTGTTCAGACGAGCGATTTTAAAATGCTGAATACAAGAGAGTTTTTCAAATTACTATTTCGTGTTGTAAACAATTGCGTAAGAACACGCATAGCGTATTATCGTAGCCTCGCGGTGAACATAAATCACGTACCTCCGGCAACTCGTCCGGCACCTTGCCCATCCAGCTGAGAGACAGGATGTTGCAGTCGCACTTGGCAGTGTTATTCTTTTCGAAGTACAAATGCATGTTCGCGTAATTGGATCGCGTTATCCGTGGTAAGTTTCGTCAGCCCATCGAAGCCGGCACCCGACCGACGCGATCCCAAACGACGGACACCACACGCGACCCTTTAATGCTGTTAGTCTCTCTGCCCCGCTCGAAATCGATCGCCGATCGATGAATCGAACCTCGATCAGAGTCTAAATCGGCGACGCGTCGTCAAGCGAGCACGCGATCAAACACTTGGCCGGAGCTGTTCCGCATCGGCGTTCGGTCATCGCGATCGTTTGACGATCACCCTTAGCGCGCCTGTTTTCCCTTCGAATCTCGGGCAAAACGTTCGCCCCTGCGAACAGGGGAACAACGGGCTGTGATCGATGTCCCGGCTCGCGGTCAGCTCGTCGAGCCTCAGACCCCTTCGACGAACGCGATCTCCATGCTCCGAGCTACGAGGTGGATCAGGCGGCCGAGCTTACGCGGCAAGCTTTTCACGCGGAATCATTTGTTTCGCATCGAGGTCGCCATATTGCCGCTCGCTGCTAGTCCACCACCCACCGTGTAGCCTCGCGACGAGACGATTCGGTGCAACGCGGCAGAAGCGCGCACGAACAAGCGGTCTAGCTTTGGGTGAGCTTTCTACGCGAGCGTACGTCCGACTGAAAAGCTCAGCCGGAGCTGCCGCGCACGAGGCACCGCCGCGTTCTGCGGGCGTATTGATTGCGCTCCGCGCTTGCTTGCTTTCCTGGCCACCTGACGGTCTCCGCTCGTGTCAGATCCGCTGTATAAAAGCTTTTGCGCGCCTCCCAGCCACCGCTCGCCACACACGATGCCGACGCGGACGGATTCGCTTCCGGGGGCTTGCGCCTCTTTTAACGAGTTCCAAAAAGTAACGCGGACATTTCGCCACTCCGCTAAATGGATTTGGAACCTACCCTCGGTGCCGCTCTTTGTGCCGCTCCTACCTTTGTTCGAACGTTTCCAACGCCTGGTCAACTTCCGTCAAGTTACTTACTCGCGATTAACACACCGCATGGAATCTGAAGAAAAAAATAGAACGCGATAGGAATATTGGGGATGATTTCATTTGTCATTGTCATATACGAAGAATTAGTCTGAAAATCGTTTTTCTTTACGTATTTGGGTTGAACCATATTTGCCTTATTAAATTTGTAGCAGCGTTTGCACTCTTCCCGACCCTTAATTTAATATGAGGGATTTATTTAATCCTCTTTTTTTAAAAATGCCTACCAGTTTATTACTTTTTGTATTATTTATTAGAAAATAAAACTGTGGTACGTTCGATGTATAATTATGATAAGAATGTAATAATAACTTCGTACAGAATAAAAAAGAGGGACAGATTTAAAGAGACTTGATATCAAAGATTTTGCAGAGTGATAGAAGAGCAATAAAACGCGATATTTGTTTTTCGACAGGAGTTGGTTGTAATAATAATTTCTTCGATTCTCTTGCATATTTTACATATAAAATAGTAATTAACGATTTTAAAAAATAATAAAATGATACGTATTATTAAAATTAATAAAAAATGCACAACTATTTATATTTTACATAAAACTCATTAATTTTCAAAAAGAAGATTTATATAGGACTGCACATGTACATGTAAAAAGTACATAGACGTAACTAGTCGTGACACATGGAAAATATTAGAGACAGAGAAAGAGAGAATATGTCATTCTATGTATGCGTGCGAGTCACTCATACATATGTAGGTTTGCTTGTGGTGGTACGCTGGCTTTCAGTATTTCAGTTCCGCGCCACCACGGCTGCTGTCAGAGTTGTAACATGAATTCTTGCACTCGATTATAGTAAATCAATTAAAGTACGTGATATAGAAAATTTTTAATAAATAATCTAATCAGCATGGACTATAAAGATGAGCAACGCAACGAGATCGAAGCGTTGGAATCCATTTATTGTGGAGAATTAGAGAGTACGTAAGCATTGTCATATAACCTTTAAACTTGTTGTTCTACCATGAAAACAATTAATTTATAATGTATCTTTTATTGTTATTGCTTGTTTGACTCATAATTCGTTTGACAATATAATATGTTGAATGATATTCTATAGATGGTAATCGTTTGCAGTTTTAGTTATTGAACCATATCATACGTTTGCTATACCTATTAAAACTGAAGAATATGATCCAGACACTGGAAACGGTCTTGGTTGTCGTCTAGAATTTACTTATACTGCAAACTATCCAGATGAGCCACTTCTTGTATCCATAGAGGAACAGGAGAATTTCGAAGAAGGAGGCGATGAAAAATTAAAGGAGCATTTAGTAGAACAAATGAATGAAAACCTTGGGATGGTTATGGTATTTACTTTAGTTAGCGCAGCTCAAGAATGGCTTAATGTACAGTGGGATAGGATTAAATTAAAAAGGGAAGAGAGTGCAGCAAAGAAGCTTAAAGAAGAAGAAGAATTAGAAAGGGTAAGGTGTTTAATATAATTAATGGAATATTGAAATGAAGCTGATTTTCTTGTCTCTGTTATAGAAAAAGTTTGAGGGAACAAGAGTTACGGTAGAAACATTTATGAAGTGGAAGGAAAAGTTTGATGAGCAAATGGGATATACGAAAAAGAGAGAATTGGCTGAACGCGAGGGAAAGAAGCTGACTGGTAGAGAATTATTCATGACTGACAAAACGTTAGACCAGTCCGACCTGAAATTCTTAGATGATGGTACATTTCGAAAATATTTAATCAATCTCGGTTATTCCAGAGAAAGTATTTGAATAAAATGTTACATCTTTTTAATTTTCAGATTCCGTTAAAGTAGATGAGAGTTTATTTCAAAATGTATGCGATCTGGATTTGGTAGACGATGACGACGATGTCGATCCAAACGTTTTTTATCATGATAGTGCCTAAATAAAACATCCTCAAGTTGTATAATAATGTTTATAAGATGTTCCCGAGATTCCTAATTATCGGATATGTACATGCAAAATGAATGTTTACGAGTTTTCTCCGTGTGTCTGGAATGTTGAGAACAAACCGACACGTTCGAGGCCAGCGCATTTTGTAACCAAAGGAAAATAATTTTTTACGACTGTACATAGACTGCATCTCCTTCACAATGATTCATCTAATAAATCTAAAACTTATCATTGTTCTCGTGCTTAATCGAAGGTTCTCGATTCGTTGACGATCTGATCGAGACGGGAATAGAATGAAATAAATGCGCGCTAACAATCATCATTTAACATTTATTCATATGCTTAGTGGTATTTAATTTGCACGTTTCAGTAACAAATCCTAGCGAACGAACAGTTGTACATACTCAGATAACTTAACTTTTGGTTTCTCAGATATTGTATGCACACATAGACATCATAATGTAGTTTAATAGTCCGTAAGATGGATATGATTTCCCGTTCTATTTGCAATGTGGCAGTAACAATCAAAATCGATGTTATCCATCAGACATTCTATTTCGTACAACATATAGGAACCTTCTGAAAGAATTCTCTCAGTTTCGTACATTTACTTAAACGTAAAAGTGACCATTACGATACGGTACAAAAAATACGATCTTTACAACGTTGCCTTCCGGTTTCCTCTGATTATAATGCTTATCGATACGGTGTGAAACCGAAGAAGTGGTGTGACAATTTACGTGGCCTTACGTAGTATACCTAGGAGACATCGTGACTAAGGAAATCCACCTAAATATTTTTTACGACTGTCGTTTCTCTTTATGTAATACATCGCGCTAAAGTCTATACAGTTACTTGACACATGCACCAGTAATTTTTCGATGAAGTGTTAATACTTATATTAATACAAGATTCAACAGAAATTATGATCTGTCGTCGAGAAATGAGGAGTAACTATTCACTAATTTCTCTCGTGTTATTCGAGGGCTCTCATATTTATTCAGATTCATTGCTCAACTGTAAACAGTACGTACAGAAATAAAGGAGATAAATAAATGGAATAAATATACCTGTCGGACTCGATTACGAAATTAATGAATAGTGCGCCTATAGTCACGATACATACTTGCGCGGCGTTAAATTAACAATAAATATATAAGTACAGAGCGTAAATAAGCCTCAATTCCCTGATGATACTTAGCGACACGTTTTGCTTAAATAACGATTATACGGAAGTGTAGCCACCGAGTCAAAGTTTGGACTTGATTTAACTTACATTAGAACGACTGCGTATACGTCAGAGCAGTCGCCTCGTCTTTCGACTCGCCAACACGTAATCTGTCGGGAGAAGAACACGATTAGTAATAAATATAATAATGTTTTTATCGACGTTTAACCAAGCGATCGTTCTTGGATGCGTTCATCTACACACAACCGATGCTAATATGAAACGAGATCGGAACGCGGATCTCTTTCGACAGCTACTTTAATAAGCATTCGTCGCTTGGCTAAACATTGTGCTCCGTTTTAAAAGTTCTAATACTCGAGCTTTTATTTCCGGGCTCGGTAACCGATGTTCTTAGCTCGTAAACGATTAATCACATGTTATACGACACATAACAAACGAGTTCGATAAGATTTCTCGGAGCTACAATATTATACATGCGAGCCTCGATTGAGTACACAGTTCTAGAGGTGAATACGTAATATTAACATCGATCTTAATTGCTTCCAAATACGTCTCAGCGAAAAATAGACACTCTTCAATAAATAGAGAAAAATAGGTCGCGGTATTTAATCCGCGTAAAATTGCTTCGTACAACAATCGTTCAGAAATTACGAATATCGAGAACATTTCAGGAACAGTCACATGTATCACGTATATATTTCGAAATATGAAGTACAACTGATCGAACGTGATCTGTTCATAAAATACTTCCTCTGCACGACATTTAAAAAAAAGTTACTGTTCAATGCGCGTCATAAATAAAATTGTTTATTGCAAAAACTTTTAGGCAAAAGTTGTAGCTCCAGTTCTTAGATATAAGAAAGGTCCTGTGCGATTTTATTTTAACTCCACTCGTTACGGAGTATTTAACGATGAACGAAATCATTAATCGATTACTCCTGAAGAATTCGAGGTAGAAAAAGATTGTATACGCCTAAGAGTATTTGGGGAAAAACGAAATTTTTTGCCAAAAGTTTGCAGTTTCGATGGTGGGAAGGCTGAATTTTGTCAGTACCAATAAAATGCTGATTAGTCATACCTAACTCCGGAGGTAGATGAAAAATTAATAGAACCTTTCTTGTACATGACGTCAGTACCTACAACTTCTGTATAAAAAAGTTTTCGCTAGCGTCAATAATTAAAATGTTAGCCGATGAAGGTATGAGCAAACGTAAAACGAACCGCGCATAGATCTAAGCGACTGTAAAAACGATCAGATTTTTGTTCGATTGTAAAAACGACCAAGTTGTATTATAACTTGGAAGTGAAAGTATCGGTCGATTTCATTGCCGTCCGTCCTACCTACTCTTTTTTTCCAATAACGTCCATTTAATCTGGTTTTCTCTTAAAAAAATCTATATTTGTAGTAATGTATACAGACGTATAAAATGTTGTTATGTTATAATAAAAACATGAGTGTTACAACGTGCTCATGCTCGGAAATACCTCACTCTTCTTTTGATTAAGAGTTCTTCGTATTCGCACGGAATCGGTTCGGGTTTTTTTGGACTCTCGGGTAAGGATTGGAAGCTTGTATCGGGTTATCATCCGTAAAGGAAAAATCGGGGAACCTTGAACAAAATGATATAGACCTGAAGGAATTTACTTCTACATATTTTGACACAGGTCATATGAGCCTCCTGTCTGGAAATGTCAAGTGGATGAAAGAAAACGGAGTTCCCACTTAGACACAAGACAGATGATTTTCGTATTCGTGAAATTTTTCATTTTATTTGTCCATCGAACTCGAAAAATTTCACCGTACAAACGTCTGGTTTTCTTTTTTATTAAGTTACGTACATATATATGATAAAATCATAAACGCACGGTGCGAAATGAAGCACTTCAATCTGCGTATAAAGCAACGTTACTGTTTTGTCCTAATCTTAATTTCGTACGTATAACATAAAATACGGGAAATAAGAAAAGTGGCTAACAATTCCGTTTAAAACTTTCTTTTAAATACTTTCACTGGTTAATACTTATCGTGTTCCCTGAACGATAAACTAGTAATCCTAATACTGCGTTATGGGGTGAAGGAGGACATTTAAAATACTGCGACGTTATTAGCTTACTGCGTTATTCGATGCTGTAATAGCAGCGCAATGTGTGATCGATTCTCGTGCTTGAAACACTTCGTGCAAGTTACATTGTTAAAAGCACTGGCGTTAATCACTGACAGAGTACAACAGTCCTTACAGCTAAAAATGTTTTACGACCGCTCTCGTCGCCTGTACTTGTCTCACGATTTGTCTCAATGCAGGACATAGCGATACTTTGTTTATTTTGTTTTTTTAATTGGTATTGGTAATAACGATAGCCTCTGAGTACCCCGTTCGGTGAAATCCGCTACAGATGTTTTAAATCGTGGCGGATTTCTACAGTGTCTCTGAAAAAAATTAATCAAGCTTCAGTGACCTGCACCGAAGTCACTGACGAACAACGAACTGATAGATAAATGCTAAAGCAACAAATCAAACCACTACGATTCTTACGATGATCGGTTATTGAGTATAAAAATGGAATGGATAGCAAAAGAATGGAATTCTACGAGTACCTAGTCTCAGAAAACATTTATCGCAGCTATGAAAGATTAAATTGGTGCTGCCGAGCAGTAAAGAGAAGAATGCGAACTGCCAGTTGAGAGTCAAGTGACAAGTAATGGTATATGATATCATTGCAAATGAGGAAGATTAAGAAGCTGCATGCACATTAACGTATTCTTAATGCTAACGCTAATTCGTTTGTTGTCGCGGTATTAGCTGTTCATTCGTCTCTAAACTCGCTGTCTCTAATATATATTATTGCGTTCTAAATGCATTCTAATCGATGTCGCTAATTTCTACCGGTGCATGTGCTGCTTCATTGTAAATTGATACTAACACGCTTTCGTTTTTATCTAAAGCGTCTTTAGTGGGGAGGAGAAATGTGCTATAAGAAAACCTAATTATTCGATCGTATGAAAATTACATGGTACTTACTTCTCTGGCAGAACACGTGGTTTGGCATAGTCCCCTGGCCAGTCGTAAATGTTTGGCAGTGGACTGTCATAGTTGGCATCATACATTTTACTCACAATAAACTGACGTTTGTCCTTCGGCTCTGGGTATTCGCTCGCCAATCCAGCTGATCGGTAAAAGATTCCAAATTATATTCGAGAATTATATTACCGTAAGTGTACTTGAAATCATTGACATAATCAAATCAAGAACTCACTCTTCGCGTAGGCATAGTTAGCGATTCGAATGGCAATATCGATTGAGCATTCACGAATAGTGTCTAATGGTGGATAGAGACTGCCAACTGCGAGATCTTCGTCCTTTACGTGATCGGCCACAGCCTGAGCCGATATGAGAAACAGATCCTCGGTAATGTGATGAACTCCAGTCCCGATCACTCCCAGTGCGATCCCAGGGAAAATGTACGCATTGTTCCCTTGTCCAGGTTTGAAAATTTTCCCTTTATAATTCACCTCGCCGAACGGAGAGCCCGAGGAGAAGATGCACTTTCCCTAATATACAGAGATGAAGTTTAAAATAATAGTGTTCGTCAATTTTTATGTAGAATAAATATGATTCGTACATCCGTGTGGTCGTAAGCTTGTTGGGCGGTGCATTCGGCTTTGCTGGTAGGATTGCTCAACGCGAATATCAGCGGTCTCTCATTATTTTTCGCCATTTCTCCCAGTACCTGGGGAGTGAACGCTCCCGCGGCTGCTGACGCGCCTGTTCAGATGTTTCTGCTTTAGATAGAGATCGACACACGTCGATAAACAAATGGTCACGCACCGATCAGAACGGTCGGCTTCACTTCCTTCACGACCTCGAACAGCGATTTCATCACCTTGTGGTCTTTCGCGTACCAGATCTTGTGACCATCCAAGTTTCCCTCCGGCCGGTTCTTGGTCAGCAATCCGTCAATATCCATCATCCAAATATTATCACGAGCCTGCTGTTCGGTGCAACCGTCCGCCTCCATCGCTTTTACGCAGAGGTCAGCTATTCCGATGGCTGCCTACGAGTCGAGTTTTCATTACACGAACGTCCGTGAAATGGAAATAGCATGAGATCTTAAAGTTACCTCGCCAGCACCCAAGAACACGAACTTGTTATCGGACATCTTTCTTTTGGTGATTCTCTTCGACGCTAGGATTCCGGCGACCGCAACCGCAGCGGTGCCTTGTATATCGTCGTTAAACGTACAATACTTGTCACGGTACTTATCTAGGAAACGGAAGGCATTGTGGTTTCCGAAGTCTTCGAACTGCAATAATTTACAGCCATGAAGCTTTTACTGCGCTCTAAACGGGAACCTTTGGGTAATAATAGCGTCGTTTCTAAGCGTACTTGAATGAGGACGTTTTGACCGTATTTTTTCACGCAAGCAGCCATAAACTCATCAATCAACTCGTCGTATTCGGCGCCTTGACTTCTCGGTTTGTTAAGACCGATATAATGAGGATCGTTCCTCAGCTGCTCGTTGTTCGTGCCGACGTCGATGGTGATCGGCAGGCATTGGTGCGGCTTTATGCCAGCTAAGGCGGTGTAAAGGGCTAACTTTCCTACTGGGATTCCCATGCCGCAAGCACCCAGGTCGCCGAGACCCAGAATCCTTTCTCCGTCTGTTACGCAGATCGCGCGAACCGCTTGTTCAGGCCTGACATCGTAAACGTAATTTGACGTTAGCAATTTGAATTGCGAGCTGCATGCGTTCTCACGAAAAGCGTGGAAGTGTATGTGCTCAGAAATTTAATCGCTTCGTATCTGAACATATGATACGATAAGAGCGCACGTTTCGACACGTGTCCCACTTTTTCTGAATGATCAGAATAAACTATTCGACATTACTCTTAAACGTGTGATGAAACGAACACTCGATGCATGTTCATACAAGGGATAGTGTTATTTTAGAAAGAAAAATACGAACCAATTGTTAAGAATCTCGTAGATGTGTCCCTTGTCGTAAATCGTGATGAACAATCCACGTGGTCTGCGATAAATAACGCCAAACTTTTGACAAGCTAAGCCGACAGTAGGAGTGTAAACGATGGGCATCATCTGTTCGATGTTCTCGCTTAACAAACGGAAAAATAGTCTTTCGTTTCGTTCCTGTAGAATATATTGGTGAAAAGGTCGTGTCGTTTAGCAGGAAGAACGATGCTCGGAATTCTGTTCGATTTTATACAGTCGAATCTAGTTCACCGTACCTGAAGCTCCACGAGGTAAAGGTATCGATTTAGATCCTCTGTATATTTCATGACGGAGGCTTTGCACAGAGCCAGCTGTTCCTCCTGAGTTTTAAATCTGGGAGGCTGTAGACCATGTATTCCCAACGCTATCCTCTCTTTCAGAGTAAATGCCAAACCCTGAGAAATAACGTATTTAAAATCTTTGATATTCACCTCTCAAAGGAATTCCTATTCCAAATGTTTTGAGGTATGCTGAGTAGTGTGTACACTTTCTCTCGTAGGGAAAGTATTTTTTATACCTTATTGAGTCGGGGGTCCCTTAGATGACCGATACCTTTCACCATGTTGATAGGTACAACATCTCCAGATACCTCGTGGATGTCTCTGTGCTGAACATCTTTCACGGCAGGATGCGTGGGCGGAAGCATTCGCGTCCATGATCCCGCACAATTTCTACTGCCGGGCGAACTACCGCACAAAAATAACGAATTATCTCGGCTGTTTTCATTAAAACATAATACGTAGCGACATCCTAAAGCACAACTTCGTTTTCTCATTGCGTAACTTCGCTGCACGCGGATTACAGGGGAGATGCAAGTCAATTGCGGTGCGCTCATTGATATTAAAGAATTCATAACTTGAACCGATATAATTTATTTAAGTGTTACTGCCAGTCTCGTGTGATCACACTGAGTACATGTTCCCTGTTACAAAAGAATTTTCCTACAGACGACCGTAAGCCAATTTCCTCGGTTCATGTGTAATCGTGTTTTTATAGCATTGGTGATAACGAAAGCATCGTTATCTGACTGCATGGTTTTTATCTATAATGAGAATCAATTAACGTTTTGTAAGTATCGAGATTAGATTTAAATGCTGTTTATCAGTGATAATCTTTGAAATGAGTCCTCGTCTGACAATCTATTTGCCAAAAGTATTATGACTAATTGATACTATATTCGATAATCTAATAATAAAGAGATATTTGTTTTACTCTTCACAGACTTAAAAAAAGAAAAACAGGAAACGTAATTGAAATTTCGTATTATTCTGAATAAACGAATGGATCATCGCCTGTGATCTAGTTTCTACTAAAACCCGCTAGTTTCTACTATAACGCTTAAACATCCGGTAACGGGTCTTTAACAGGGATGCCTGCCAGTTAAACGTGCAGCGTGTTCAACGTCGAATGACTCATTTGCAAAGGGCTTAAGGAAGTAACACGCGTGAGAACAGGTTTGTAACTGTTTTCTCTGAAACCGAATAAACGTCGTTCAGTGGAATTCATGACTCATTCTTTAATAGTTATTAGAATCTCGATTTTATTGCATTCATTGTGACGGACACTTGTTGCCGTCCGGAACTCGGTGCGAGGACCGGGATCGATAAGATGCGGACGATTTACGTTGCCAAATATTTTAGACCATCTCTAACATGAAAGTAAATCAACAAGTCGCGATATTGGAAGAGCAAAGTTGGCTCGCTGTCCCGTGGAAGATCGTAAATTCGGAATTCAACGTAACATCGATGAGAACGAATGGTAGTATACTTATATCGAATCGAAGCGCGCGTCGTGAGCTTAGAAACGTTAAACCAGGGAGTCCGAGTATTGATTAAGGACACACCGTAGACATTACAATCGGAGAACCGGAGTATCATAGCACGATACTTTGTCATTCGATAGTACATTAATTATGTGTAAGTTATCGAAATAAAATAGACTCATGGAAATAATAAAATAGACTCATAGAAGACTGAATGGAAGTAGTACAGAGATTTAAGCATTGATAAAACACGAATTCACGAAGTGTTTCGAAGAGTGATCACTTGGCGACTGTACAACGATTCGCGTTTAATAAAAATGTATGGCACGATTATTGTAAAACATGAAGAGCATTTAATCTTCAATTATCAGATATGTACATGCGTACGTACATATTTGAATGTGGAATTCTATGATTAGCTGTGAGTCATAAATAATAGTTGGACATTGTGTGGCGGAGGCCTATCGGTTCGATCTGGTTACGACTAAACTGGAATTAGACACGAGACTGCAATTGATCGGGCTTTATAGAGACAGAGATTATTATCCAAAGCTCATGCATATTTCGTTTAATAAGGGCGATTTACGGTGCACGGATAAAGCGAGGAATAATGATATGCCGTTTGTGAAAAGAGGACAGGCCAATCTATTATTATTTCAGTGGCGTGCGGCCAGATTTAAAGAAATATCTTGGAAAAATATTCTGGTATAAATGATCGTGTCCTACAATTATTTTTACACACGATCCCCATACAGAAATTTGTACTTTAGAAATGATTGAAAGCTACTTCTTTCATTCTAATATTTTATTTCATTCGTGAAAAATTATATCCATTAAGACGATTCTGTTTTAATTCAATTTAACATTTACTATTTTATTGTAAACGAAAAGAGAGACTCTTCTTTCATTACATCAGTTATTCCCTTTACTAGATGATGGCCTTGGTCGTTACGATTTCCTCGTCATCAATTAAATAGATGCAGCTATGACAGCAATGACGTCACAGTACCACATGGGAAAGCACGTGTTCACACAACTTATACTTCGTATAAAAGCGCGACAGCCATGCGAGTATTTGTACGCGGAACGTGATTTCACTTACTTGCATATGCAGAATTTGTAATTTAATAAGAATCATATAATTGCAAGAATGCTGAGTGATTAATTATCAATAGCGAATCCGACCGAAATGATATTTAAAAAAATATCTTTATGAACATTTACTTTTATATCTTCTCGTTTCATTTACCTTATTTAAATATTTGGATATATGGGGGTAAGTAGGTCATTATCTAAATAAGTTTCGTGGATTTTTTAAGGTTGTAGTATACTCCATGTAAAATGGTTGTTCACGTGCATTACGTAACTCAGTCGATTTAACGTATTACGTAAATCACCGATATAACTTTGCTAGTGTAAAGTGACACAATGTATGACGTGCGCCGTAATTCTTCCCGGTGATCAAACTTCGGTAATGAATACAAACAAACTTTCACGTCCAACGATGCAAGTATACTCTCAAGAGAACAGTTCGATCACGAATTTTTCCTTGTCGACGTATTTAATGGAACTTGGATGATTTATGAGATGATAGAAAATTAGCGACGTTAAATAGAAGAATGATATTTTATTTGAGACATTAAAATGAACAAAAACTTATTTCGCTAATTTTTATTATTATTTATCAATGAAGGATCTTTAAATAATTATGAGAATAATGTAACAGTTTTTAGGATTTTATTCTTTATCTGTACTTGTTGTTACAAATAATTAGAACCAAGTATAAAACAGAAACGTTCAATGCCTGAGTTATTTTTTATTTATAGACCAATCTGTGAAGTTTATTCTTTTCATTTATTTAAACCCCTCTTGATCTTGTGTAACTTTGTATTACTTGAAGGCCGCTCTGTATGGAACCTTTTCTTACAGAAAAACCGCGCGTGACTAAAGCAAAAATAACACAATGTATCCTTGATGGGGAAAAAACGTAGCTGTATTCTACCATCAATGCTTTTGTCGTCTTCTTATTCATTAATGTACGACCATTATTAGTACACTCGTGTCCTCTCAGGCTCGTTTTAGAAACACGATACTAACACAATGGTAATTAAAAAAAATTTCAACGCATCTGCAGCACTAAGAATTATGTAATTCAAGCTTAAACGTTGAAATTGCAATTACGTTCATTTTCTGTAGAACAAAAAGAGAAACACATACATTATTTTCTATTTTTAAACAAGTAACACCAATTATTCGTATTTTTCGTCAAGTTTGTAATACTGCGAAAAATCAATGAATAGAAACGTTAAAACATTGATCGAAGAAAATACGAGGGCGTTCAACTTGGCATTCGTCGCCGGCAAAAGCACGGCGCTATAACTTCCAAGAATGATGTGAAAAACCAGACACAGAGAGAACACAAAAATAGATCGGAACGATGTATCCTGAGGGAAATGCGAACGGAACGATTCCAGAGCGTACATATTCGCGCGTGCTACGATCAATGAGGAATCTGATTAAGACGACAGGTGCGCCGAAAGGAATCGAGTGAACGAAACGGTTATTCTTTCATCGGAGGAATTGAAACTGGTATCGCGTTTGCATTCGAATGGGAAATTCTATAGGTCCAAGTTTTTGCGGGAATTTTTTCGACGAGCGTGAATCGGCACGTCGCGCGGCTGCCGCCGACGTCCCGGGGAGCAGGACAAAGGATTGAAGGGAGTAGATGGCGGGGATGAAACGGAGAATGATCCCGACGCCGTTCGCACGATGCCCAGCAGAAAATTGGATGCTGTCAAGCGTGGACGGGCGAGAAACGGGGAGAATTTTGTGATGCGCGTCCCAAGCGTAATAGCGATACGACGACTCCGTTTGGCACTGTCCCACGTCCCGCAGAACGCACAGGGTAACGTGGCCTCGTATCGATCGGCGGATTCCCAGCGCGTTCCTATTTTCAGCACTGCATTGCGGCAGAAGCTGGGTTACAAACGGCCCTTCTGCTCGCGTGTTCCATTGGCTTTTTCCGTTAGCATCGGCGAGAAGCGATCTGAAATCGGCGCGCACGTGCGTGCCCCGATATCGCGGTACCACCGGCGCAGCGAAGCTAGGCAGGCAGGCGATGCCTCCTCCGACCGAACGAGACGCCGGTTCGATTTTCCTCTATCTTCTTTTCATTATTAACCGCGAAAAAATTACAGGATGTACTCACAATATTGACTTCTGTAGGACGAACATCTCGGCCCTCGCGTGCTCGCAGCTGATCGCCTCCCACCCGAAAGGATCAACGCGCGACTGCGCGTTTTCGGTTTAATCGTGTTCACCAATGCTGACCCGTTTACCCGCGCTCGCCGCCGCCGCTTTGTCTACTCTCGCACACCTTCTCCCCTTTCGACTTCAAGTTCGTCCATACAGCCGGTTTTACGCATACGCACAACTGCTCCGGTTCCGCTTGCTTCGCGCGATACAACGAGACTGCACACGCGCGCGATCCACGCATACGGATCCGGTGATGTGATCCCCCAACGTCGGTCGCACACCTTTACTAAACCGACCCCGGTTCTCCCCTATCCTCTTTGCTCTACGTGGATCGTACTCGGTCTCCGTACGGACGCTGACTAAACAGTATGAGCGATCGAGTGTAAGTGTGGGTGAATGGATGCGCGGCGACGCGACGCTTTGCCCGGTGAGTCGCTTTTTCAACGAGAACAGCCGAACTCTCCCGACCAGAAACCCACCTACGCCTCCGCCACCTGATAGCGTATCGGCGCTAACAATCGGCGTCGCGACGCTGGCAGGCAAGCGCACATCGATTCATGTGCGATTGATTAATCAATGATTTCGGTTTCCATCGATTAACCATGTGATTCGTAGAATCCTTGGAGAGGAACGAGATAGACAGATTTGCTTATAAGGCCGCGACCATGACCATCATTCTTTAACGGGTACTCGAAATTTCTGGCTCGGAATGGATCGACCAGCCTCGGCTGTGATCGGGCAACACCCGCCAATATTTGAATACCGTTCAGCTTCCTCGACCCCCGGGTTCATGGGCCAGTATTCAGAGTCGTTACTTATAAGATCGCCTTAAGCATTTGCTCAAGTCCCTGTTTCCTGGATGACAGGGTCATCCCTGTACAAGACAGGGATTGGAAACATGAGATAAATACGAATAGCAAATGTTTAAGACGGTCTTAAAAATAAGCAACGATTCTGAATACCGGCCTCCACTTCGACGTGATTTCAGTAGATATAGAATATCGTCAGCAAACGCATTCAAACAAAATCAGATTTATCATCCCCATGCGTCCAGCCACGCGCGAAGACTGTCGGACTTGACTTCTTCATTTCTCCCTCGCTTCCATAAAATTTACGTTTAATCCAGAATTATTCATAAATTGAGGATCCTCGAGACAGCCTTGTTTCGTATTGGTATGGCAATCGAACGTGAGACACAGAAGTCCATAAGGTGAAGGCGTTCAATAATATCGTTCTACTCGAACGATATCATGAGCGACAGACGATATGATAAGGTTCAAATCGCTGGTAAACACCTGTAATACACGTGCGGTGGATACTGGATATCACGATATCGAAGTACCAGCGCTTACCGTAGTGTGCCACTACACGTTTAAATAATTGGCCCGATAAAACGTGACGATATTGGCACTGCCAAAACCCTTCTCTCTATGATCAATAAAAAATTTCGTAAATCGTGAATTATCTGATAAAATGTGATAGCGCAGATAAGTCCTGTTTGATAAAAATTCGAGGAACAGAATATTCCATACGTTTTACTATCTCACATTTATTTTAAAAACGAATTATAATTCTCTTTTATTATTTGTAGCAAGTTTAATCGTGAGTTTTGTAATAATTAATTATTCTATTCACTGTAGCATAAATATTTCTTGTCCTATTATTAAATTTTCATTCACGCTCCACGAAAAGTCGAGGTTACTAAGAAAATTGCATAATGAAATACATTAAGTCTTCTTTTCCACTGGTTTACACCTTACTTTCGTCAAGACCGAATTACTAGGAAGCGCATCAAGAATGCAATTCATGTCCTGCAGTAAATCAACGCGCATTAGTCGCAGAGAAGACCTCATGAAATCTGATGCATTTCATTTAGACGTAGCGAACCAGAATATTAAACATTAAAGTTTGACAACGCAGACAGATTTCGTCAAATATTGCGAATTTTGGACGAAGTATTGATTCGCGAAATAGCTGAATAAAATCTCGAATGAAGGTTGAATAGTAAAACGAATGACTGCCTTAATGATATTCTCTCAATATTAACAGAATATTTCTTTCACAAAGTACTATGTTTTTGTTAATTGCCCGGCGGTTTTACGTGAACCTTTCACGAACTGACTCGCGTAACCAAATTGGTTCTTTACGGTCACATCTTCCGTGTAAAAAAATAATTACGTTCAAATTCAGTGAGGTTTCACTGCCGCACGGACGCTCGCATGCTGCGGTGGCAACGCGCCACGTCGTTTCCGCTGACGTCCGTCCGTGTTCTAATTGCTCTAGATAATTATCTCAAACAATTCTACTCAGACGTCTACGACGACGCGAGGCGGGCATTCTCATTTCACAGCTCTTTAAGAGCTGAAGCGGTGGATCTTCTCTTGGTTAACGATCCCGCGAACGCTGCGCGCCGAGGAATTTCACCAACGATTTACCTGGTATGGCAGCCTTATACCTTCGGGCAAAACCGAGCGCGGGACTATAGAAAAAGACCGAGTAATGTGGGTTGCGAAATTGACGAACAGGTTTTAGCGGTAAATCCACAAAGCGGTTCTACGAGTATCAGGAAGTTCCCATCTATTTGATATTCTGGTTGGACGGCGTTATCGATAGAAACGGCCAACGTTCGATGGCCAGGCCGAGTAACGTCGTTCTCTCGCGAACTTTCGCCAATACGATATTCGCATCCACGTACCTCGAACCATGCAGATATTCAATTCGTTTTATGGAATGGATCATAAGATAGCGGGACACACATACAGCGTGAGAAGCAAATGAAACACGCTTCATCGGAAATAAATTTGGCCGTGAACGAAGTCCGTCTGTATTACTAACGGATAATAAAACTGCCGAGCGTGTCAGTTTTACGATTCGCTTAATCAGTTCCGATGCGAATTTTTATGTAAAAAAAATGTTAAGCACTTACCTTGAATTAATTTCTGTTCGACGTTCTTGGAATCGGTTCGTCGCTATGAATAAAGCATCGGACAAATACAGATCCATATGTTAAGGTTTATTAGGACAGTAACGATGATTGCATTACAGTTCAGTAACTTATGCGTGAGATGTTTCGGCAAGAGCCTCAAAACAGAATAAGAAAATACATCCGCCGGCAGCGGATACCATAGTCGATGCTCCGATCAATGATCGCGCTTTGTCCGGAGCACGACTACGATGCGTTTTTGAACAGTTTTTAACCGCAGGACAAAGTTTCGAGGCGCCCCAGGCGCAACTTTGATAACTCACACAGGTCCCAGTTAATATGCGGCGTGTAAGGATAAAAGTTTTATTTATTTTTATTTATTTTTTCGTTTTATTTCTCTTTTGTTTCTTTGGACTCAGGAACTTACTGCTAGGTCGCCCCTGAACTTCCTGCCTAATTACGGAGCGCTCGGTTGAGTCGTAGATCGCAAGAGGTTGAAGTTACTTTTTTCCTTCATTATTTTTTTTTTTTCTTTCTTTAAATAATAACTATTCGACTAGTTAAGTTCGTCCTTGTACACATAACACCGTCCTTCTTAAATGCATACAAGTATTACGTCTATATCTCCTTTGTGAACTCAACTCGGGCGTCTTCTGTTCTCATCGCGACAAATCAAAACGGAACGCAAACAGTATCGTTTATCTCGTCTACGTTTTAGAAGCGCATACGTATATCGAATTTTTCTTGGCGTTAAGATCCTAAACACGATCGACAAATCTCGTTTTTAATCAAGGCTTCGGCCGCAACGAATGTGACTCGTCTACTTACACCTGAAATCAATGGAGATATGCGGAATAGGGTGTGCAACGGAACGGAAAAAAAATTAGTAAACTCCGTTTCGGATCACCGATCGGTCACGACTTATCATTTTTCAATTTGAATACGTCACGTACCGGGCTTATCCGTACGTGCGCGGCGCATGCCGATATAATATAGACGACAGCAACTCGAAATCGATTAAATGTAACAGCATTTACAACACGTGGTAATTACATGCGGATATCTTGCTGATAGTGCCAATTCGGGTGTACAACTTCCTAATAGTCATCTGTCCATCCTTACCTCTCAATAGACAACGTATAAATAACAATGAACGGAAGTGACAACTGTTCGTATAATATCGTACAGTCCACCCTTTTACTCACGCGCGCAGAACAGACGTTCAAATCGTTAATACCACAGTCACACACATCTCACCCTCTCTCTCTCGTTTCGTCATCGCTCGCTTACAAATCAACTAGAAACTCGGGAGAAGTAGTTAACGTATTATAAACCTATTAAAAAATACTCACAGTAGTGTCTAACATACACAATGACAGTATTGCTACTTATCTTTATGTACCGCCGGGATACATACGTTTGACATCGAATCCGTGAGAGTCCGATTCGATTCAATCATCCCCTTTCGACGTTCGAACGTCGTCGAGTGGTCGTTCATTTTGGTTACACGATGCACGTGACACGTACTCGATTGACGATTGCCATAATAATTGTTAAAGCCACACCCCGTTCCTGCCGCTGACTATGATCCCCCCCCCCGCGCCGCGATAAGCTCGGAAAAGTGGGTCTGGCTTATAGCTTACTTACAGTTCGGCCGGTGAAATAGTTTTTCGGGAAAAGGGGGCGAACCTTTGTGCGATAAAGTTCCGGCGAACTATCGTTAACTTTGACGTTAATGACTTTCTGCATCGGCATGGCGTGTGGCGACGTACCGATACATTTCGCCGATACCACCCTCCGTTATACTGGCCGCATTGATCGTTAAACATTGATCCTTATTGATTGCACTTTAAGTGGAGAAGTTTGAACACAAAAGTTCGGTGTGTATCGCGTTTTACCTCATCAAACCTTATCAACCGCAACTTTTCAACGCTGTTTTCTTTTCATTAAAACCGCGGCTGCCTGTACGTCTCCCGTTCCGTCTTGTTTCGGCTGATAATGTTGCTCGTTACAGAGTTATTTAATCATTGTCCAAGTGTGTCGCTCGCTGCCAGTTCGAACGTAGCTTGCGTACCAAGTGAAGATCGGAAATTGGAGAAAGTCAAGCGGCGAGAGAAATGATAAAGACCGACGGAAAATATTATTACTGTTCGTGCGAGTGTGACTACGGTCATAGTTTAAAGAGTTATCTAAATTCATAAAAAAATACAGATATACACATTGTGTCTCGACAGCTATGCTACGTAAAACTATTTATATGCATTTCCGAGCAATTAGTTGATGTAAGAAAATAACTATGAAGAAAGAAACAAATCTATCGCTTCTTGATTATTTCTATATCGGATTCAGAAAATCATTTCAAACTATTTTTACGACAACCAGCATAGCAACAATTTCTCCTGATCAATCATTAATGTCATTGCTGATTCTTTAAACTCTCTTTAGTATCCAACCCTTCGATTCAATAATCATTAACGTTACTCGTCTCAGTAATCGAACACATGCATATACTTCCTTCAAATAGTTTTACCTCGCTTGGCTCGCGGAATTCGTATCGCGTTCGGTATTTTTCTCGTCATTTCCCTGGCTGATTTCGCGTGACACGTAATTCGTAACCGTTCAGGCCAACTATTGTTCGCGTCACGAATCACTATTCCTCTCGCGAATAGATCAGACTTGTATTCGTTCTCTAATAAAACTAATCGGTAAGAAGGAATGGAAACATCACAGTCATATAGAGGATGTAATAATAAATACGTTCGTAGTGTACTTAGGAAGGCGATATACTCTTGTTTCACTATGACTTTCGAGTGAATTTCTTCGGACAGATAGTTTTTCTTCATCTTTACAGCGATTTAATAAATTCGTTTCCGTACGAGGAGAAAAACATTAACAATTCAGCACTTTTGGGTACGTTCATGCTACCAACAAATTATAGACTTATTACCACCTGTTTATACAACTCTCGTAATATTCTTTCCTCGTGTTACGTGCTCGTTAAGTGTACTAACGGGTAACGCGGTTACAAAGTTAAAACGTTATGAAATATTCAGCGTGTGCATACAGCATGGCGATAAGTAACACACGAGCCTTTCGCTATTGAAATACGTCGGAACGATTGAAGCAAGTAATCGATTACGATAATAAGGGACCCTTATAACTAATCGTTAAAGCTTCTAAATAATCGAGAAAACTTTTACTTTTCATTGTACACATTATAAATCATTGGAACATCATTGAGCAAGCCTATTGGGGTCAACATGTTAAAACGTTTTTACAGCAAAAGTTTTCTAAGGAAAGGACGTAAAAAAGAAAATAGAAGAAATAAAACACTGCCTACCACTCATCATTCTGCACACATTCCTGAAGGTTCATAGCTCATTGCGTTCTCTCATCACGAGTCTTCCCCCTGCGTAACATCGAACATCCTTTTCCTTTTATTGCCAATACTTTTCTCCGTGATGGTCGTAGTAAAATGATGGAGAATGATCGGTCGTCGGATTAGTGCGGTGACACAGATCTAATAAATGAATCATGATGTCGCGCGCTCGCTTGTGTGTGTTTATGTGTTTGTGTATGTGTGTGTGTATGTGTGTGTTGTGCGTGTAAGAACGTATCATCGTGTATATGTATATATAATCTATATATCATCTACGCGGATCGACTCTGGTGGTGTGCCCTCGGCAATTTTCATCGGCGCGATGAAACGATGTAGACCGCACGCTTTCCTTGGCGCTCCATACATAATAGAGGATTTTCGATGGTTCCTGTCCTCGAAGTTATATGTAGTTTCGTTGTAAATTGAGCCCAGACTCGTCCAAGTAGTTACCGATCGTGATTAAAGCGGAACTCGGCCGAGGAGAAAGGGGCTCGTGAACAGCAGCATCGCCAGCACCGTGATCGTTGCACCTTTAACAAAAAACAAGTGAACCGAGCAGACCCGGTGATTACACCTTGACACGATCGAGGTAACAAGCTTTTAAAAATCTCTTTATATCGCCCCAGAGGAGGGTCATGTAGACAACGTTAAGAAAGAACGGATGCACGACGACGCGAAGCGATAACAGGCGTTCGCGATAAAGCAAATAACTGCCGCGACCATGCGGCGTCCGCTTCCCCTCAAGTCTTCCCGCGAAATACCCGTTTAGCGAGAACGACCGAGATACGAGCTGGAAAATACTTTCCATATAATTGTTCGGCGCGAATCCATTTAAAAATAATTCCCGAAATGATCTATGCGAGAATAATGGCGCGTGGCCAATTCGTGATCCTGACGATTTACGCGCGGACGGATGACACTCTCCTCGCATTTATTTTTCGCCATCCCGGCACTTTTTTTTCCAACCTTTTGGCACAGAAAACATTATTGCGCGGCTCGTAATTGATTACTTTATAATTTGGTTATTCACCCTTCGTGCACAAAATTCGTCCCCAGAATAATTTAAGCGTTACACCCTCGCCATCGTGTCATGTAACTAGGCCGCGCTTGTTACTGATTTATTTAACGTCACGTTTCCTGCGTGATGAATAATTATTTTCTATAGATAATTAACCGAAATTATAGAGAGTAACTGTCGAACAAGAGACGCAAATAAATCCGGCTGCTAGAAAAACATTCAGTCCCTTAACATACGGACACAATGCATTGTAAGAGATATCAAGAAGTAGTAATTGTATGTCACTGGATAAGGAAGAAAAATAGTACGTCAAGGTAAATAAATTAAATTCCTTTCCCCCAGTTTCGTAATTAAAATCGTACTTAATCAAGAACAGCGCTTAAGATCTTATCAGCCGCTGTCAGGTTTTTGTAAATGCTATACAATGCGAGCAATTCTTAAGCTCGAAACGACATAATTCCATTGTTATTCTATGGAACAATTAAGCTCCTCGTAATCGATTGTAATTAATTTTTCGTCCGGGAGCAATGACTCCCCGTTCCAATTTCCACCCCAGTCATTTCTACGAGTCCCCGCACACGCCGTAAGTAGACTTAGGCCGCCTGAAACGACGCATAACGCGATACAGTTTCGCGGGTAACGGGGAAGGGAACGCAACATTCCGGCCGTCGTTAATTTGCATCGCAAACGAGCTGCCGGGATTTTCGTTGTAATACAGACATTGGGAAAAATCCTCTGCCAGAGCTTGAACGTACGCCTTCAGAGTAATTGCGTTCGAAGGCACGCCCGAGAGGAAAAAGAAGAGCCGGGAGGAAAAAATTGCCGGGAGTACGAAACGAGCAACGACTTCTGTTTCATAATGAATCGGGACCGTTGCGCAATTTCCCGCTCGCGGTAAATATTAAAGACCAATGATGTAATCAGGAATATCGAACCTCCCCGCCTGAAATTCGTCGTCTTGCGAAAACGGTGGGACGCACGGATTCCAAGAGAATCCTATCCGGCATCAATGGCTATATAAATACGCCGCGCCCGTGTTCTATTTACAGTTTGTTTCAAAAACAATGCTCGTCGGATTCAATTTTATCAGTCTCTCCCACGAGTATACGAGGCGCATGATAATTGACTCGGTTCAGTTTCGCCGGATCCGCTTTCCCACTGTTTCTTCTTTTAATTTTCGTTTGTCTCTCTCTCCGGTTCTTCGGTTAGTTCCATTAGCAGTCAGAGTCCGTACGAGGAAAATCGAGTCGAACGCATTAATTACTTTCATGATCGACTAAATTGCGCGGGCCGATGCTAGCCAATTGTACTGTTTCTCTTCTATATCCACGCACCACTGCTACTCGTTCGCCTACATCCATGCAATTTTCCTTTTAATTTACCGTCCAATTTCTTTTGCGACTATTTTTTTCCGACGATTCTTATTGACTCGTTTATCTCATCGGATTTTTATTTTTCAAACCGTTTAGTCTGCTCAAACCAGCTTCTATCGGCAATTTACAAACTTGCATGGCTCGCAATTAAATGCATCGACCCGGTTCACGGGCCTACTAAGTTCTTTCGTTTCAACTCTTCGCGGACGTCGTTACACGAATATTGTATTCGCGGGTTCGGTCCCGCTCATTAAAAGTTTTTGAGGGATTGAATTCGCAAAATTACGGCGGCGGCGTGCCGATAAACAACAAGAATCGAGTAACGACGGTGAACGGAGAGAAATTACGGGATTTCGGTGAATGTCGCGAATTAAGCGGCATTTTAATATCAATGGAGGAATATTATTTTCCGCGGACACGGTAGCTCGTAACAAGGAGAATTTTCGTAACGGGGCAGGCTGATTCAGTTTGCATTAATGCCAAAGTTAGCAGCATGAACTTCCGCTTTCATTAGACGCACGCCATAGATGCAGTGAGCGTAACGTTTCGCATTTAATATGTCATTAGATAAATTAAATTCATTCAATTAATAATAACAGCGTATACGTACCGATATAAACGCGAGCTTTTGATCGAATACGCCATTACGGTCACCGCGCTGACACGTTATTAATTATTCTATTTCTGTTTCGGTCGCTCGATCATTTCCCGATCGTCAAGACGACTTGTTGATCTCCCTCATATTCTCCGATTTTTAATTTACCACCGTTTTTTTTACATGCAAATGTAATTAGTTTTCTCGCAAGGACGATTTCGAAGATTATATCGCAATCCTGTTACGGTATAATTTCGATGCCATTTAATTCTCACGGGTTTCAATTGAAACCGACTCCTACCCACCTGTCTCGATTTTTTCCCATGGAATTAATTTGTTCGCCAATTTATTCGCACTATGAAACGCGATGGAATTTTGAATTGTGCGCGATAATCGATGCCTGTTAATTAATTCATTAATTATACCGGCGAATCCTAAAACGAATTTTCTCGCTCCCACCGTCTGGCAAAGATGGAATTGTAAATGACAAGAGTTTTGTAAATTGTAAATATAAGAGACACGCGTGTCATGTTCGTTCCTACTTTTCTTAAATATGAATAATACAGGTGAACCCTTAGTACGTCTGCGCGAATGGTAGAAAAATAAGACATCTGGCAATTTAGCATATGTCGTCTCAAAGGTTTCCGGGAGTTTGTTCGGCTTTCCCTTTATATTCCGGAAACTTGATTCTTGTTTTTACGATTGGTTTGTATTCCACGCTTTACATTGCGTCTGAATTTAGAAAAAGGAACAACGAGCCCGCGTACGTCCCGCTATCTTTTCCTCTCCTCCCCTGTTTGTTTCACCGTGTTATCAACCAAAGGATACGGTGTACACGTAATATCATGAAAACGAAAGAAGGTAGCCTCTTTTGTGACGGCTCGCAAAGGAAGCGTTTTAAAATAAAAATTTCACCGCACTCGCAGTACGTGTGCCGAATATAAACGCTTCTTTCGCCCAGGAACTTTTGTTCCATTGATATTCACTGTTTGCGCTAAAATATTATCACAGTATTATATGTAATTTCTGTCGTCTCTCCCGTCACCGTTCACCGTATTCGTATTGTATTTTATTTCTATAGAAACTCTCCACACGACTTTCGACACGGGCTATAAAATGAATGGGGAATTGTTCCTCTTTTTATTCGTGAATTAAATAAACAACTGGTTCTATACGACGGGAAACTTTTTTTTCCCAAAGGCTGTACATTAACAACGGAGGTAAACGCGATGGGGAAATTCGAACGCTATATACGGGCTATATGTGTCCTGGTTATATTTGTATAACTTTCGCGGAGCTTAATTCGTGATTCACTAACCCTTCCGCGCTTTATTCATATCCACGTTTAGGTATACGCCCCGACGACGACGGCCGCGCTTAAAATTACAAGACCCTCGCGGGTACGGCGGGAAGCGTGTTAGGCAGATCCCATTATCCGTTTTCCAGTTCGCACGCAAATCTCACACTCTCTTGATTCGTTCGATCTACGTACGATTAAAGCAAACGAATCCGTCCTCCTCGAGTGATTTAATAATGGGCGTAGGTACACAAAAATTCGATTTCCTCTATCAATATCTGCAGGGCGTAGCCGGTAGCTAGGCGCGTTCGTCTATCGCAAATCCTCTTATAAATCGTGTATAATCTTTTTTACACCGACGCGTGCTTCCGCTTTTTTCAGATGTAAACTGTCGATTATTCATGGGATTGTGCGCGATAAACCGGTGAACTCTCGGACCCGTGAGCGGGGGTTTTGACTTTTTTTTGTTAAGCCGTGCTGACCTTTCGTTTCGCGTATGTGCGAGAGAAATGTATCCGGACTTTTCTACGGTTTTAGCCTCCTTTCGTAGGGCGCGCGTGCGGGAATATTAAAACGCACACGCGCTGCACGGGAAATCATAACGGGATGTTTGCATTGCAAACTACGGTTTCGTGAGCGTCACTAACTTCGTATCGCGTTTCTAAGGTCTCGTATCAGCTGCACCGAATCGATTCTTTCATTAGAATACGTATCTCGCTGCTCGAAAAGTTTGGAGCACGTTCTGACCTCAAAACGAACGGAAGTCTCCCAGTAAAAAATTGTTTAATATCCCGCATTACATTTACTTACTACGTACGCTTGTGCTGCGTAAACTTTCCCAATACGTTTGAAATCAATTAAATTTTCCACAGGACAGGTGTGCATTTTACTTTATGAAACAAATCCGATTTAATTCGTCATGCTATTTTTATGTAAAACGTAGGATCGCGGCAGTAATTATTTGTATTATTTCTCAATTTGTTTGCATCCTCGCATAATTACGCGAATGTAAAAATAACTGTAGCGCACGTGAATTCCATTATTTTAAATGTCGCGTCGCGTACTCGCTGAATGCATCAACATCTCGGTCGTCGCCACGCGTACGTGGTTGTACGTATAATATTGAAACAACATTTCCCCTCTCCTTCCCCCCGGAAATAAAAAATATGCGATTGCAGCGCTCGCGCGCGCGTAATTATATGCGTTTTATTTATGCAAAATAATATCGCGTGCGCCTACATTAAACAACAACGTATTTGAATTTCCTTTTGTACAATCAGCGGTATCGCATTAGTATTTTTTAGAAATTCTATTTTAATTAGCTTGTCGCCGGGCGGAAATTAACCCGAGGCGTGAAGAAACGGGCGGGGGCGGGGGTCGAGGTGGCGTGTAAAAATTTCGTGTACGAAAGTTAGTCGCCGAGAAAAAAAAGCCGTGTTTAGTTTTACCTTTTAACGTTGTCGCGTTACTCGTCGGCGGCTTTGTCGTATAATTTCCTTCCTCGTCCACAAACACGTAGCTCGCGTTGAATCCCGTTGCGTCGTATCTCTCGTTGCTCTTAAAGGTTACGCGAAAGAACTTTCTATCGCTCTCGACGTCGAATTCCTTTTGTTGCCCGCAATGCCTCGAGTACTTCCGGTCCCTGGACATATAATTGGAAAATTCGACGAAGTCGCTCGCAGACACCGCCTCGCATCTGAAAAATAAATGGTCAATCGTCCATTGTAAAAACACAATTACGATTGTCGAATGGTCGTGCATATTAAAAACAGTTCTGAATCGGTTAATGATTTACGATTGCATATAATTATACGTATATACGTATATAGATAACGCTGCAGAAATTATTATGCTCTTAAGTGAAGGGATTCTCGAGAGCATCGATATCTGCGGACTTGTATAGAATTATATGGAATACGTGGGTACAATGCTAAATGAAAGTTTACACACTTCTCGATATCCTTTATTACGAAAGTCCAGCCCGCTGATAATACCATACGGTTTGTCAGCTGGAGATTTTTAATAACGAGCACGTCTGTATTCATAATGTATTTAAATAAAGTATTTACATTTAATTTTACGCGAGACGTTGGACTGATTAACATGCTTCAGGTTTAATCCGCATCTATCAGCACAATCGTCGTTATTAAAATCGTTCATGCAATGATACTGTCATGTTCCATTATCATAGGACACGTCGGTTTTATTGCATTACAGGTATCGTAAGTATACAGAGCAGGTTGCATAAATATTAATTTATTCATCGAACGGTACATATGTGTCGCGAAGAAATATTCCCTTCTTTGTCGCTGGCCGGCAGACAAGCGCACAGATTTAGAAACCTCATAAATGTTTATGATATCGCCTATTTCAGCGGGGATGACAAGTCCGCCGCGTAAAACCGCGACGCGCTTCTACAATGTATAAAATACAATTGCGGATGTATTATTCAGTAGTGTCCTAAGTTTGTCGCCCGGTTCGGTAAATTTATATTTTCGGTCAGGTCATACGTTACGCAATCACTGGTAAATTGATATACATGGTCGACGACGACGGCGAGCGAGCAGGCGAGGAAGTAAGCAAGCGACGCTGTTGAAATATTCACCTTTCGCGGCGCATATCGAGTAGATTCGAATGATTTTTCTCGGGGGCGACGTAGCGCGCGTTGCTCATAAATTGCTCCCCGTAGCTCGCGCGGGCCCCCCGTCGTCGCGTCGGCAATTCCATAAGTAATTCAATCTTGGCTATTCCCGCGCATAATTCCAGTGCGTGTAAAACGCGTTCTCTTCGCTACGTTCACTGCTCCCGAATCCCTTCGCAATCGGAATATCCATCGGATATTATTCCGTTCCGCGGGAGATTTTCCGACAGACCCTCGCGCTCCATAAATATTTTCTCTCCAGTTGCCTCGGCCAGAGTCAACGGATTCCCGATTACGTAACCCGTGATTAAAAGCTCGGGTACGGGGGCCGTCAGAAATAACACTTTATTTCTGCGCGACTCGAGGCCACACACACGGGCGCAGATGTGTCCGTCGTCGATGTGCCAAGTTCGAAGTTTTTGTTCCATTCCACCGAGCGAAAATAACTTTAATGGCAGCGTGCAACCGGTGCATCGTGCCGGAGTGGAAGCGGAACGTCAAGTCAAACCGCGGGCCAGCAATTGCGGCCGCGGAAATATCAGAAACGCTACGAAGAACCACCACCCGGCGAAATACGAAGCCACGCGTCCTGTAATTAAAGGCGAAAGAACAGCTCCGCGATCGCCGCGGTCCGAATAAATGGCATTGATAACGACGATTTACGCTCGCTCTCCTTCGCGAGGGAATGCATTCACTCCTAGGTAAATAATATATAGCGCTCGTAAGAAATATTGATACGTGAGCGATGGCGCTATTATCACGGACAGCGGAGATATATATCGCGAGCGGCTCCGCTCCTTTCACCGATGACATAAGTGGCAATTCTCGTGATAGATCATCATTCGGTTCTCACGTTTCCAGACATATATTCCGAACTGTTTACCCGTGCCCGGATTTACGGCTTCGAATGTATCTTACCCTTCCTAGATACAGAAACCGAAAGAACGAATGCATCGAAGATCGCGTTGCGCTTCCTTTAATTGAACTCTCGCTCGAACCCACGTGCGTTCTCCAACAGTGAAAAAGGGACTCGGGGAACGCTCCCAATGTTCGAGTTACTCTCCGCTTATACGGAGGCGCGCGCTGCCTGTAATAACAGATGCAAGTGGTCCTTTGGAGGATCTTGATATCGGTCGACCTCGAATTATTAAATTCAGGTCGTGTATCCGAAGAGGGAGCAAAGCAGGAATCGATGAAGTCAGGAGGAGACCTACTTCGTGCTTCCTCTCGGCGTTATTGTTCAAAAGTTCGGCCGAAATCGGAAAAACAGGACTAATTAGCGGCTCCGAGTAATGAACGAACCAACCCGGCCCCGTTACAACATGGTTATTGATGGCGATTTAACACGACCCAATTAGGTTATCGCGTGGCCAGCTTCTTCTCTTTTTTTTTCCCTCCCTCCGGCTAATACTATTACGATTTCGCTTGTCACAATATTGCTTGATGGATTACTACACCCTCGAGTCTAGTTCCCTCCTGAGTTCGATGTCAGCTGTTAATCAGCTTTCCTCGCTAATTGGTCGGCGTGAAGTAAATCCTTCTGAGTCCATTGGTGTTTTCAGTTTCGCTTTGGGGTATCAGTATTCTCTCCGTTCAAACGCAGGATCCTCGCTTCCTGCTATAAGTAGTTCGAAACTTTGTTTGACGCAGTTTGATTTAGTGGACCGTCGAACTGCATCAAGAAGCCTAATCGAACTGTGCCTGGTCTATCGATCCGCTTCTAGTATACTTCTAGTTAGCCGAGGATGCTCACTTTGTCTCACCTCGTCTCGTTGAGTTCGATAACATCAGATTCTGAGACAGGACAAGTATAACTATAATAGCCCATATCTCTTCATTTCCACTTTAGCCAAGATAATATTATTTTCTCAATTGTCACTTTTATTTATCTTCCTCTCTGATGTCGTAAAATTCTTGAAAAAGAATTACTTCTTAAAGCGTGCTCCAGTTTCATACGTCCCACTTTTATTTTGCCCTTTTGAATACAGAATATACCTTACGTCGTAAAAAAATTGAATTCCTACATTATTCAGAGATTCTTGTCTAAATAGCCACAAGCTGTTTTCTTTGAAACTATTATAAAGATAGTAGTTTCTTTCTTTTGTATTACAGGACCTGCGGGGATCTTTTATACTACGAATAACCTCGGTACTTAACTCTCCGGATGGATAACTCTTTTCATGCCCTCTTTCAAAACTTACGACGTTATTTCTTGTTAGATTTGAATTAATAATTAACTTTTTCCAAACTCGGTTCTCTAGAATCTAGTTCAATGCACAGGGAGAATCCAGACTCAGTACTGCTTGTAATATCCTCCACTTATTGATTTTATTAAATCCTTAGAAAATGAAATTTGCTTTTATAAAATACAGAAATATCCACTTAATTGATTAACAATAAAACTGAGTCAGGATTTTTATATTTACGATGTTAATTTAAAGAATGAAATACACGAATTCAAATTTCTTTTATCCTTCACATGCACATATAATTTTTCTATAAATGGATAAGGTCTTAGTCTAAATAATGAACAATAAGTGACAACTTACGGCATCACACCCTCGACGTCGAAGAAGTGGAAATGCAGGTGGACCCGTTCGTTCGGTTGGCCGTTGAAGAAATAATGGCACTCGGTGTTGCGCGGATAAAGGCCGGGATAATTCGGCGAAGCGAACGTGCCATTACGCGTCTCGTTGCTGTTGTAAACGAAGGCGCAGGGAAACTGCGACTGCACCTCCTGCCGTCCCGTCGTTATGCCGAAGTCTGTAACACACACGCGTCGTGGAACAACGTTAGCGTTAAACGTTCCTTAAATCTGCCGGGGGATGCCGGGAATAAACTTTGCCGGCCGAGCAAGTGGAAATAGTCGGCGTGAGGCGCGGCGCCGTGCCATGCCATGCCACTGGCCGCGCCGCGCTCCAACCGGGCAAATACGAGCGTTCCCTTCGGCTCGTTAATTAAATCGCACCTATTTCAGGTATTTAATTGCCGGGAGAAGAAAGTCTCGTAACTTTGAATCGGCCGTCGGATCACCTTTGTTCGAGATTTCTTTCCAACCTCGTTTAATGAGAAATGGTTCGACGGATTTCGAATAAGCGAAATAAGGATTCGTTTATGGGAATAGGATGAGTCAAAGGAACGATTAAACCGTAGCTTCTTCTACCGAATTCGATTGCTTCAGACCTAGTTACTGATATTAGTAGTCGGTGCTGTTGAAACAGTTAAAAAGTATTCACATTCTCTTGTGATTGGTGGATGGCAAGTATTTAATGGGCTTTTTATTGTCCAATAAATTATGGCAGAACACGGGGCCTGGGTAGTAAACGTAAGATTTTAATACGAGGAGTAATGAACGAGCCGCGGTGGAAGAAATATTGTCGAAATTGCATGAACTTTAATTATGACTGTTAATCTTTTCTTTCGTAGCAACTATGAAAATTATAATACAGCTTGAAATATCATCACTGCTATAATAATAACAAGCGTATTGCGTTCTGTGCGTTACGCACGTGTGTGCGTGTAATGGAAGCAGATTCTGATTCCGGAAGTAGTTTTAATCAGGCCGACTGATTATGTTAATACAGGGCCGTGCGAACTCTTATTAGGCATATTTACGTGTTATTTGATCATTTCGAATGTGTGCATTACCTCGGCGTTTCTCCACTTGGCTTGGTTCAATAAATATTGACATTCGCTAATGAACAGTCATGTGCCGAAATATAAAGCATCGCGATAATAATCGATATATCGTAACGTGATAGGCATTAATAAACAATAGGGAGTATAATTGCTTACGTATTATTAACTAGATACCGAAAATCAAGCGGGAGAGCAATTGCCTCAATTTGTCAATGAATAAACATCTCCTACATGATCGTCGCATCCATCTGAATGCGAGCCCACCCCCTTGTGTATAATATGACGTATAAATAATATCAGATAATTCAATATACTCCGACGTAGGTCCCCGTTGTTTTTAATAATTCATTAACCTGTCGGTGAATGGAAAAAATACTGGACCGCTTATTCTACAATAACGTCATTGTGATACTTAATCCTGAATGTGCACGATGATTCATCCAAGGAATAATCCTCTCGCGCGATCGTTCGTTCAAAACCGTTTCGTTCGCCGGGAAACGACGAAAGTTTCGCGGCGATTGCAGCCGCTTTACCGGCGACGACACCGCCGTTACCGGAATCGCAACTTGTGAATCTCCGAAAGACCGAACGCTAAAAGCTTCGCGGCGAAATGGGTTAATTATAAGATTGGGTGGGTCGTCAAGCCTCGTTTGAAATCGTTCTCGCGGTATGGCCGGTGCGCGGCGGGCGAGAAGTTCCGAGAAGTTTCTGCGTCAAGTTTGCCAAAGTGTACGTACCTGTGTACCTCTATCAAGCACCGGCGGGAGCATTGCGAAAGTAAGTTCCGTCGGCCGCGATTGTAAACACCTAGGTAATAAGCTTTCGCGGACGCGGCGCACTTTTGCGCTTAGTTAAGTCGCATTTGTTATAACGGGCTGTGGCGGGTGGTCGGGCGTTGCGCCTCGCCTATTCACGGCGTATTGTGCATCGCGAGCAACCCCGGGGAAAGAAAGCGGCTACGTGATAAAGCGTTCCGAAACGCTTCCGGCGAAGTGGCCTCGTTCGAACGTAAACGCCACGCGGAATTGAACTTTTCCTCGCTACCAACGTTCATCGTTAAGCCATTGTAGATGTGCTGACGGGAAAATATTGAGCTCCAGCGGAGACTGGACCGGAGCTTTTATAAAGTTTCATCGACGGTACGGAATCGCAGCGGCTATCACGGTTTCTTCATTGTCCACTGTACTATCGATTCGTGTTTTTAAATTAACAAGTTTGCGTTCCTCGTACATTTCCTGTTATTAGTTTTCTTTTATGTACAAAAAGTGAATATGGTGGAATTCGGAACGAAACTAAATTGTCGTAAAATAGAAAATTTATATTTTTTTTTTTTTAAAAACCAAATACTTTTTACTGCCACTCATTTTAGAGAGACTCTGTGCGTCGCTTACACGTAACTGTGCGCTCGAGGAAGAAGCGAAGAAGAAAGTGGCTGCATGATAAAGTGTTCTGAACGCTTTGAGCAAAGTGATTTCACTTGAAGTAAATGCTACTGGGGCCCTTTATTTCTCCAGGAATAGTCTCCCTTTGCCCGTCAATTTAATTTCCAAGATATTGGACGGTATTTGCAGATACATTAACTAATTAAAAAATATAAAGACATTTTGTTGGTACTGATAATAATTCAAATTGCAATTGAATTCAATAATCTTGTTTAATTTCATACAAGTCCTGCATTTTAGAATAATGGTGCTACGTCAGCGAAGTTGACGTCGAGTCTGACAAGTGCATACTTAATGCAATCTGACTACTTCCTCGACCTACTTGCTTTTCCTAGTAAATTGAAGAATTTTACAGAGATAAGGGAATGTTTTCTATCACATGATACATGCAGACACTCGAATCCAAGGTTTCTAATATATTTCGTTGAATTAATAGTTAAATAGTTCTCTGAAGTGAGAACACGTATTTATAAAATGTAAATCGTATTGCTGATAACTGTTCCGTACAGAAAGCATAGGTTTCATTTAATCACTGAGATTAAGCAGCGTGCTTGATGGTTAGTGCTTAAATTAATGACCACTTGGAAATTCGGTTTGCCGTCGGCCTCAGTGGTTAACTCCTACCAACTGTAGCCCGCCAACCGAATAACCATAATAACTATTGTCAATTAAACATCGGCGAAGCACGGGAATTAGTTAACAAGTAATTAATGACGATTTAATAAAATTACAAGAGTCGAACTTAATTTTACTTGCGCGTCGAAACGAAGGATTTCATCCCGATAGAATAATTCCTAAAATCTATCGCGTTTCAAAACGTTTTCTGAAACGAAACCTGAATCGCGTAGCTTTTATCATTTTTATTTTTTTTTTTTGTTGTGAATAAAATTGTTTTTCTAGAAACAAAATGAACGTGTAAACTTTTACGTTCCATAATGCTTTCATGACGTTTCACTTGTCTCGTGCTACTTTTTAATTCGCTCGTATTTATTTAACGACACATCGATCGTTTTCTTCTCGGTAAACCTTCATTTTACTAAATATTGGCGGGGGAGAGGGCAGGAGATTGCAGTTTCAGAAGTTATAAAAATTTAAACTTCGCTGTTTTCCCGGAAAATAGCGCGCAACCTATTATGAGTTAAGTGGAGTTTCTTCGGAGTGCTTCGAAGCTAAAGATTTTCTTAACAATCACTTATTCGCGTTTAGCGATAGTCATCCGCGCAAAACACACGACGGTCCTTCGAATTTAACTTATTAATTTCCCCTCCGCTCTTTGTATTGTTTATACGCTTGCCAATTCGACGAGAACCGCTGCTTAGACCCGTCCATTGTCAGAGCGCGTAAGAAACTTCGGGGACTAACAATTTATTCTGCTCGGAATTGAAGAGCCCAAGTTTTTATGCCGTCCTCGTGAAAAGCTTCAGCTTTCCATAACGATGTCGTGTCAGTAATTTGGTTGGTTTCACAATGAAAGTACTTGCGACTCGAGCGATCTTATTTATAGCCTTCTGACGTCCTACATAAAAACTGGAATTTTACATAAACTTTTACATGCCTCTGGAACTTCTGTTAACACAGGTATTTTGTTCTCAAATATGCAAATTCTGATTCGCGTCTTGGTTGCAAGCGTCGGGACGAGAATCGAAGTATTATTATAGTAATAAAGTCCGTTTCACCGGTAGTTTCTTAATGTAACGCCGACTTCGTCAAACTTTAAAAGCTAACTCGATTTGATGGACGTGGAACGAGCAATACCAGTTAACCAACAATGTAGTCGTGTATACGTCCGGATATTCTACAACGAAATTGCCTTTGGCTCTTAGTAACTTTTTATTCGATTAACCGAAATGATCCAACTTGCAAGTTTAAACAAATGGAAGTTACCTAATTGGATTCAATTACCGACTCGTTTATACATTATTCCAATAACGAGTGAACAGCCTATCCCTTTAATTCACGAGAAAACGACATAAGAATTGTGTGTAACCATTTTTAAACCGTCTCCCACGCGCCCTCGCAATTATTTAATAATTATTTCAGATTTGCGCGCGGATCTGTTCACGCAATTAACACGCAAGTATGCGAAACCACTCCCGGTGAGACTTTTACGATTGCGGCAGCTCTTGAAGAAATTTCCTGAGCTCGTGCATCAGCGCTAGAGCTTTTGCGAGCAGCATTTAGCATCCGGCATTATGTCTGCACACGAGCCAGAGCCTCCATGCCTCTGGATATACCTCTTGGTGTTTCGCATACTTCCGTTCCTCTTGGCTCGTCTCTATGCTTTTGGAAACAACGAACTTTGTCTCCCGTTGTCTATTCGCTCCCCTTCCCTAACCCCGAATAATGCCTCGCCTCGTGAAAACATGCAGCTCATTTTTCAAAATTTTCATCCGGAATATGAAACTATCTCGAAGATAAAATAATAAGACTGGCTAGAGTGACGTAATATTTGATATCAATAATTATAAAATATATTAGAATGCAGAATGATTTGCATTGAGCAACTATGAATTTCGTTTGAATTAATGTTGATCGAGATAACTTGGAATACTTGATCTCATTGTAGCTTACAGTGCTTATTATATGTAATGCAATACAAGAGAGTTGTATTTCTGTTGCATTGAAGTAATCCAGCTGTCTAACAACAAGTTCTGGAACTTGGTTAGAATACTGCACAATTAA